TGTACTGACCATCTGGAGCGCTAAAGCTGCGAGAGCTGAGTTTCTAGTAGGTCGCTTCATCTCAGATCGCCTTCCACATCGATCGTTTGATCGACCTTGCTGGGGCTTATCTCAAAGTGTAATTTGGCATCTTGTGCGGCTCACAACCTTCGCATTGTTTTTCCAGTTAGATCGCGGTGGTTCCTACTCTGCCTAGCCGGTATTCGGAACGGCGTTGATGTAAACTGTCTTCGTGTTTGCCTGTCTGAGGCAATTTTATTTGTCCGTCCTGGCACAATTTTCCATTTTGCTGAAAAAAATCAAGTGGCTGGCCGTGTTTTTGTGAATATGTAGCCTTAAGAATGCGCACAGAAGTCGAGGAGGGGCTGCATTTAGATTTCCGAACGCTCATGGCGGCGCTGTGGGAAATTCCCAGCCATCTCGTCCAGGAGTTTGCTGAAAAAAAAGAAAATTATTACGTTCTATTATTGGTGAAAAAAACAGAGTAGAGACAGCGGTGCGCAAGCCCTCCAGGCAGGATTTTGCATCTAGCCTTCTTTCTCCACTTGGAAGGAAAAAAGTCCATCTGCAGACAACGACGACGACGACCCTAGATGCCGGCCGGCGGTTAATTGTGTGCAGCATAACAAAGTCGACACTTTTAGGCTGACCAAACCGCCTGCCTTCACTTGGCATCTCGAACGCCACGAGAGGTTTTTCACGCTCTCGCGTCGCCAGTGACCTTGACGATTCGACTCGACCTTCACCAGGAGAATACATAACTAGCGTATCTCTTACATATGAGCAAGCTAGATAAACAGGCAAGCAAGCATCCTCAACACTAGCCTCGATTTGTCGACGGAAAAATAATGACACAAAACTAAGGACCAATGAGAAGGCGCTGGACATATTAGCTCCTTAAGGTAGTAGGAACAAAAAGGGCGCAAAAATTAAATTTTCCGGATTCCTAATTTAATGCAGACCCATTTAGCAGGAATCATAATGCTAACAAAATTCAAGCATTCTGTCACCTAATAACACGAGTCCGGCGGAATGGGCAAAAAGCATGGACGGTCTTGCCCTAAGTTACAAGGGGAGTTAGGGTTAGGGTAAGTGTTCGTTTTAGGGTTATGGTTAGTGATAGGGTTAGTAGGTCTGAGTTACAATCGGGTTTACAAAGGTAAGTGTTAGCGCTGGGACTGGCGCTAGATCTAGGAGTGTTAGTGTTACTGTTAGGATGGATGTTATAGTTAGGGTCAAATGTGGGACATGGGTATAGGAAACTCCCTGGAATCTAGGGCCAAGCCACTCCTGTGTCGGACAGGAAAATCCGTAGGAAAACGGCACTGCCATTGTCCAAAACACAGTCCTATCAACAGAGAATTAATGTAAACCATGATGGGAAGACAACTGGAAGAATGAAACTTAAAAACAAGTAGTCGTGCAAATTCACTCCCTCGCGTCGCCAGTGACCTTGACGATTCGACTCGACCTTCACCAGGAGAATACATAACAAGCGTATCCCTTACATATGAGCAAGCTAGATAAACACGCAAGCAAGCGTCCTCAACGCTAGCCTCGATTTGTCGACGGAAAAATAATGACAAAAAACTAGGGACAAATGGGAAGGCGCTGGACATATTAGTTCCTTAAGGTAGTAGGGACAAAAGGGGCGCAAAAACCAAATTATCTAGATTCCTAATTTAGTGCAGGCCCATTTTGCAGGAATTATAATGCTAACAAAATTTAAGCCTGTCTATCATTTGCATTCCGTCACCTAATAACACGAGTCCGGCGGAATGGGCACAAAACATGAACGTCTCCGTACTACAGGCGGCCTTGCCCTTAATTCCAAGGGGGTTAGGGTTGGGGCAAGCGTTCGTTCTAGGGTTAAGGTTAGAGTTAGGGTTAGTAGGTCTGAGTTATGGTCGGGTTTACAAGGGTGAGTGTTAGTGCTACGGTTGGAGCTAGATCTAGGAGTGTTAGTGTTACTGTTAGGATGGGTATTCTAGTTAGGGTCAAATGTAAGACATGGGAATGGGAAGCTCCCTGGAATCTAGCGCTAAGCCACTCCTGTGTCGGACAAGAAAATCCGTAGGAAAAGGGCACTGTCATTTTTAAAAACACAGTCTAATCAACAAAGCGTTCGTCTAAACCATGATGGAAAAACAACTGGAAGAAAGTAATTGAAAACAAGTAGTCATGCAAATTAAAGTGATGGGAATTACTGTCATGTGATGGGGCTGTTTTCACCATCTAGGCCACTCGATTATGTTTATTTTGATGAAGTAGCGGACTCTGTATTTGTTTGCTTTTCTGCAGTCCTGGGTAGACATTATAATCTAGTCTATCTCCTTTTGAGGTATGGTGGTGTTTTACGAGAAGATTTTACATTGCAGTCGGTTATAAACCAGCCCCATACAACGTTTTTGTTTTTCGAGGAGACAAAGCTTCTAAAAATGAATCAACAGCGGTCATGATGCATCGATGAACGGACTCTGCACGCAGTCTGACCCAGATTTATCAGCCCTAAGAGAACCATCCTGATTAAAAGAGACGAGTTGTGCCTTGTGTATCCACGTCATATAAAATCATGTTTAGGCAAGAACGGCAGGATTTATTGGTACCAAAAAATTTCGCGACTGCTCTTCAGCTGCCTCCTGTCGCTTCATAAGAGGGATAACGAGTGAGAACAATACAACAGATTTGAATTCGTGCAGAAAATCGATACAGAAACAGCAAGGTTAGGGTTTTGGGCAAAGTTGGCTAATCGATAAAGTTAGTAACACAAACACCGTAGGGGAAGAAAGTGAAAAAGGGGGAAACGTTAAAGAGCAAAAAATGAGAGGAGAGAGGGGAGGAATCATGGAGCTAGAGGCTACCATGGCAATGTTAGGTTAACCACGTGTTCCAATTGTTTACAAAGATCTGGTTTCACTCGTCGTATATAGGCTGCCTCCAGGTAACGCAATGTCCGAGTTGGTCGTGCCCGAACAAGTACTCGGAAGGAAGTTTTGGGGTCGACGGTGTGACCAGTATCAAGTAGGTGTTTCGTAATGGAAGAACGCGGGATCTTATTTTCTTGTCTTAGGAGCCACTTGGGCAGGTGCTCAATGGACCTGGCTGCCAAATGCCTTTGCGTTCGCCCAATGTACTTGCATCCGCAAATGCATGTGAATTCATAAACACAATTTGACGTGGCGTGCATTGGCATCGGATCATGTTTCTGTCCTCTACAACGGGTCAGGTGGGAGTTGCGCTGGGCGAACACAGGGGTCAGATCAGGATCCGACACGTGTTCATGGGCAGGGCATCAAATGGTTGCCCGGCGGTCTGGCGTCTGGGAGAGGGAATAGCAAGTGAGGCCGATTCCGGGGACTCCAATCTCGAGACACCTCAACGCTTTCCCCACTATCATCAGACGTGCTAAACGACGTGGATTGAAAGGTGGGCAACTGGCAGTACAACTCAGACTCCGCAGTCGGGCCTCTGTGTGTGGCACGCCTTTACTGACTGTTTGGCTTGGCCAACCAATGTGCCCCATCCCGCCCCCGGTCTTTTCGGCTCCTTTTTTATACGTAGCTCAGGTAAGTAGGGAAGGGGAGAGTGCGGTAGATGCAGGGCAAGTCTACCATCACAAAAACTAATTCACGAGTGGGTCGCTGTTTCTGCGTCCACACTGCTGGGGGGCGCACGGTGGACATCGTCAGCAGCGACGGTTGAACTGTCGTCTGGAGCGAACAGGAGGGAAATTGGCTGATGAGTCAGCTGGAAACCTACCCTAATGGCTTTCAAAGTCAGACAATGCAATCGCTCGTTTTTCTGTCACGAAACACCTGTTAGAGAGTGAACAGTCCGTCGACTCAAAACTGGCCTTCGGACTTTTATTTCGTGTAGAATAGCTTTGGAGGCAGCCAAATATTTGGCAATGTCATAACTTTGCAAGCGATCATATCATGCTGAGTTTATTGCTTTTACCTGGTAACTTCTCCTTCTTTTCATTTGCATGGACATTTGTTTTTGTGTCTTCTTCTTCTTCTTGTTTTTCTGCTATGCTTTTTGCAACACCTTCGTCAGTTAGGCTGTACACATTGGACAGTAAGCCTACTGTTTTCATGCAGATTTTCTGATCATGTCCAGCATGCTAAGTGCTAAATATGTATTAACCGTGTTATAAAATGACAAAATACAAATGAAGAGCAATTTTCAATTCAGTTCCCACTGACAAATGCTGATCAACATGTTTGTCTTAATTTATGCCCAGAGTCCCTTGATTATCAGAACATCAGTGATTGAAGAGGGACTTGCTTTTGTCACTTGGCTCTGGGCTGTTAACGGGATCTGATGTCAAGCCCAAAGGGGGGGTTAGATAAGGAAACGAGGACCCAACAAACTACAGGTGACTCTGCGCTAAATTCCAGGGGGCACCTTTTTCCGTGTCCTTTATTTGACACATACCCTAGCATTAACACTAGCCTCAATCTTGACCATTCTAACCCAGACATCAATCCTGTACCTGGACTTAACCCTGATCCTGGAATCTAGGGTAAAGTCACCTGTATCGCTTGGCTTTATGATGTTTTCATAGATTTTTTGACAGATTTGAATGATTCATATTGACCAAACTGTGGAAAACTCGACTCCTCGGTGGGATTTGTTTTCTGTTAGAACTTAGGTAAATTTTTGCCGATTAGGCCGTTCACATTGGACAGTAAGCTTGACGTTTTCATACAGATTTGCTGAACATGTCCAGAATGCTAACTGAGATTTCAACCATCCGGTTTCGACGATGTCCACCGTGTGCTCCACAAGAAGGCGGAGCAGAGACGGTAACTTATGTGTGTCATTTTATAGTGATAAGAGAATTTCACAGCATATGTCGCACTCTCTCTCTCTCCCACCACCCATCTAGGTCCGGTGTCAAGACAGAGTCAAGAAGACCGGAGGTGGGCGGAGGGTTCAGGTGTCTGGCACGACCAGAGCCGCACCTAGGCTTGTCACCACACCCCCTGGTCCACAACATGCACTTGACCAGGATTCTTCGCCGACAACAACACCACAACAAGGGTCAGAAGGACAAGAATGGCTGGGCAGCCATGCCCACCACCTGTGTACCTAGCGGGAGCGCAAACGCATCTACCGGGAGGGAACCAGGTGCCAGCGAATACCAGACTGCGGGGGCCATGGTTTGCTGATGCTGGCATAGCACACGCTTACTGACCTTTTGACCTTAAGTGCTAAATACTTATTATCCGTGTGTTGTATCCACTTGGTCAGCGTTTGGAGCTTCCGTTTTTGGCTCCCTGTTGACATCCCCTTTTCCTTTTGTAACCCTCCATCGAGCATCATCCGTGTTCTTTTAATTAACTGGTTTTCTATTCTGACCTTGAGCTGGAAATTCGACTTGTTCGAACAGTTACAAAGGAATGCTTTGGCTAGGGCATCCATTGTTGAGGTTTGTACATTCTCCATTATTGCCTGTATTCTATCAGTTGTACTGTATATCCACCGAAATCTATTTTTTGCTTATACGCGTTGCTCGGACTAGCAAAGAATGCTATGCCGTCTTATAAAGTGACAAAATGTAAATAAAAAGCTATTTGCAATTCTGTTACCACTGATAAATTCTGGTCAACATGTTTGTCTTAGTTTTATGCCTAGAGCTTTTGATTATCAGAACATCAGTGACTGAATAGGGGCGTGATTTTTTCACTTGACTCTGGGCCGTATACGGCATCTGACGTCATGCCCAATGCGGGGGGTTGGACACGGAAACGAAGACTCAACACACTACAGGTGGATCTGGGCTGAATTCCAGGGGTACCTATTTCCCTGTCCTTACTTTGACCTATACCCTAGCATTAACACTAACCCCAACCTTAACCATTCAAACCCAAACCTCACCCCTCTACCTGAACTTAACCCTGACCCTAATCTCTCTAGAATCTGGGACAAGGCCACCTGCTTTGCGGGGACTTCCTATTCCTGTGTCTTGTCATGAAATTTTTCTCAAAGGCGAAAAATCGTATTTTCAGAGGGTGTGACGTCAAGAAGATGCCATGGCGGCGTTTCCCAGGAGGACTACCTCGTTGATTTTATGTCACTTTGACGAGCAGAGAGAGAGAGAGGAATTCGCTTCATTTTGAAATTATAAATTCAAGATTTTCAGCAAAAATTGGGGCTCCATTCACTGTGGACAGAAAATAAGTTAATAAATCACTCAAGAGTCAATAAGTTTTACACAAAAAGGAACGACTATTATGGGGAGATTTCGAGTCTTAGCTTCTGTATTTCTGTCTCTTCACCAATAGACTGTCGTTTGGGGATCTTAGATCATCAGTGTGGGGGGAAAAGAGGTGAGGGTATAAAATGGTACCTTGGAGAACTCCACAGTCAGGGGGAAGGACCACAGATTTCTGCTTGCCTTATTGGACACACTGAGTGCGGGAAGTAAAATAGTCGCCAGGCCAAGAGATAACCCAGCCTGACAAACAGCATGCGGATGTTTTGGTAGAGAGACGGGGGCGCGGGATGGTATTGAAGGCGGAGGAGTAGTCAAGAGATGCACATGCGTACTCGCGGCAACCCTTATCTAATTCTCCTAGGGCAAAGTGCACCACAAGAGCAACATCATCTAGGGTACTACGCTTGCATTTATATGCAAATTGTGAAGGGTTGGCAAAACGATGACCCAACAAACTACAGGTGGCTATTTTCAAAAAACGACTTTGACGTCAGCATTCAAAATTTGGCGGTGCTGAAATAAACTCCGTAAGCCTCTGATAGCCGGAAGAGAGGACCTTCTACGCAATAAGACCATTTTTGTGCTCTCATCATATGTCAGCCGATCGGCAACCCTCCTTCTGGTGAGTCTACCGGCTGCTGATTATCACCTCAGTTGCGAAAACCAGTAATGAAATCGTGGTCGGATCTTATTTCGTAGCCGTACCTGCAGTAGGCGAGTCCCAGCTTAACCCCTAAACCCCAACCTTAACCCCTAAAGCCAAACCCCAATCCCAACCCCTACCCCCTAACTCCTACCCCCTATCCCCTAACCCCTAACTGGTATGGCTACGAAATTGGATCTTGCCGAAATCGCTACCACAGTCAGATGGAAGGATCACAGTGCGGGAAGTAAAATAGTCGCCAGGCCAACAGACAACCCAGCCTGAAGAACATCATGCGGATGTTTTGGTAGGGAGAAGGGGGCGTGGGACGGTATTAAAGGTGGCAGAATAGTCGAGAAAGGCACAGGCGTACTCGCGGCAACCCCTATCTAATTCTCTTAAGGCAAAGTGGACCACAAGAGCAACAGCATCTAGGGTATTACGCTTGGCTTTATATGCAAATTGTAAGGGGTCGGCAAAACGGAAGAAAATGGCTTTTTAATATCCAGGACAACTCGTTCAGCAACCTTCAGAAGAGCGGAAGAGCAGGCAGTTGGACGAAAAGATTAAGGACCAAGATTAGCGGTTTTTAGGATAGGAGTGAGTCTCACTGTACGCCAGGCGTCAAGAATCTTAGATTCCATGAAAGACATGCTAATAAGGTGTGTTAAAATGGGGGCTATTTGGGAACAACAAGATTTAAAAAGGGAAGGTGAGACACCATCCGACCCGGCAGCTGTTGATCCACGGGTCAGACACCACGGTCTCTTCGTCAGCAGAATTCCTGGAGAAACTCAAAGGGGTAAGCCTCCATCCAAATGAGGTCATGGTATCTTTTGATGTTACATCCCTTTTTACTTCTATTCCCCAGGACCTGGCGATCGAGGCAATTGAACTGCTACTACAGAGCAGATACGATGAAACGGAGAACCGTCTTGGACACGCCCAAATCCTTCAGCTCCTGAAGCTCTGTCACAGGACGTACTTCACGTTCGACGGGACAATCTACGAACAGGTGAAGGGCACACCAATGGGTTCGCCGATTTCGGGATTCATCGCCGAGGCGGTCCTGCAACGGTTAGAGTCGCTGGTCTTCCAACACCACAAACCGACGTTCTGGGCCCGGTATGTGGATGATACCTTCGTCGTTATCTATCGGGATCAACTGCTGACATTCAAGGAACGTCTGAATGCGGTCTTCCCGGACATACAATTTACAGTACCTGTGCTAACTTATGAAATGCCGAGGTCAAAATTATAGTGGACAATGTAGCGTATTTTTGGTGTCGTTATTTGTGTTTATTTAGTTAAAATAAGGACGAAAAGACCGTTTTCTGAAGGAAAGTTTGATACGGATCTGTATATTAAATAGAAAACGGGCTGGATTTAGGCGAAATCGGGGGATTCCTGATATTCAAGCAGTTTCCTACGCTATTAAAGCTTTCGGATGGAAATTCTTTATGTAACCTTATTAATCTGTTTAAGAAGATTGATAAAAGGACGAAATTTTTTAATAAACTTTCGAACAAAAAGAAAAAATTAAATTTCAATATCAAAAAAATCAGGGAAATGCAGATAAATTATTTCTTATTGTGTTCAGGAAATAACGTGCGATTCTTTATCTAAAAATTCTATTTTGCAAATTCGTAAAGTTTTATGTTTCAAAATACCGAAATAAAAAAGTTTACCAGTGTGATTGTTTTACCAGACTGAAAATGCGTGTCGTAAACGAATATATATTGAGTTCGCGCGACATGCCGTCACTTTGCTCTGCCATGCCAAACGATAACTATGTCTAAACAATACGTATCCGAAGTTGACTTCCAGCGCATTCGAAAATTAGCGGCGGAAGGAATCCCGCGTGAGTCGTTAGCTAGTATTTTCAATATTAGCAAGGTCACTCTGTGGCGCATTATTAATGATAAAACTGTTCCTAGAAATAAGATAGGGGGACCAAAACGGTCCACAAGTAAGCAAGACGACGATTTTATTCGTCGTACATTAAAAAAGTTTCATTACATGCCCATTGAGACCATTCAGCGGGAACATCTGCCGATGTTTTCTATGAACATCATTAGAAAAAGGATGAAGGAATTTGAACTGCAGCGGCGGAAGGCCATGATTAAGCCATATTTAAGTAGAAAACTAATTAGAGAACGGCTTTTATTTGCTAAGAATTATATTGAATACAGATCTTCATTTTGGAAGAGCATTTTCTTCTGCGATGAGGTTCTATTTTTAGACAAGCCTACGAAGTCGCTCCAAACCGTCATATGTGGAAAGAACTTCCCAAGAGAACACACTACACCGACGGCAACATTCAAGAACTGTCGGCGGATGATGGTTTGGATGGCGATTAAATTCGGTGAGCGGCCTGTCTGGCGGTCAACATCCGACACCATCAACAGCAAGGTGTTCATTGCAATTGTCAAGGATGTTTTCGGCTACAACGGCATAAGTCGGCGCCGAATGGATACTGTAATTTTACAGGACAATGCACCTGTCCACCGCTCTAAAGAGGTACGAATTTGATGCCACTTGCAAACATAATCTAACATTTTAGACAACAACCACGCTCTCCGCAATTGGCCTCCAATCCATTTTCATCCCGGCCAACAGTCCCGATCTGAATCCAATCGAAAATCTTTTTGGAATTGTCAAAAGAAATTGGCACAAAGCTAAGAAGACTCTTTCAATGCAGGAAAAATTGGATTTCATACTCAATAGTTACATTTTACAATCCACCATAGATAACCTTGTCATGTCTATGTCGGACAGACTTTTTGCTGTTATTAATTCGAATGGACAATCTACAAAGTACTAATTTTTTGTATCTGTTTCTTTCCTTAATTATTTTTCACCTTTTATGCGCCCTCCTCCTTTATACGTCCTCATACGTAGCCTTTATTAACTTGGTTGTAATATAGGCGTTTCTCGAAAATGTGACTTTTGTCGAAAATTATTTATTTTTATCTCAGTAAATAATATTTTCTTAACCAAACTTTGCTTAATTTCATTGGCACATCGTTTATTTTCAGCTATCAGACTTTGGGAGCCGTAGTGTTTACCGATTTTGCGTTAAAGGCGTTAACCTGTGTTAATTCGTGACATTTCATGAGTTAGCACAGGTACTGTACGATGGAGGAGGAAGAGAACAACCAGCTGGCCTTCCTGGATGTCCTCGTATGCCGCAAGGATTGTGGTGGACTAAAGATCAAAGTGTTCAGGAAAGCGACAAATACGATGCAAGTACTGAACTTCAACAGCAACCACCCAATCAGTCACAAACGCAGTTGTGTAAGGACGCTCTATCGGCGTGTCGAAACGCACTGCAGTGAGCCGGAAGACAAGATTGCTGAACTACAATACCTCCGACGGGTATTCAAAGCCAGTGGCTACCCGGGCAACTTTGTCAACCGGTGCATACGCAATATGGACGAAAGGCCTAACCGCAGGGACACCAAAGTTTGGCGAGCGCTTCCATATGTCAAGAACGTTTCGGAAGATGTTGGCCGCCTTCTCGCACCGCTGGGGGTTGGAGTTGCACACAGGCCAGAGGCAACCATCAGGCGTCAATTGATGAAACCAAAGGACCCACTGCCACAGCAAGAAACGTCTGGAGTCGTTTATCGGATCTGGTGCAGTTGCGGAAAAAGCAACTATGTCGGAGAAACCGGAAGACAGCTCCGAACGCGAATGGCCGAGCACGCTGCAGCAGTGAGGAGAAATGACGCCAGCTCTCAAGTTGCGGCTCATTCGACGGGTTCCGGCCACACATTCAAATTTGACGAGGCCGAAATTCTCGCAATAGGTGACAACCGCGTAACCGGGAGCTGCTTGAGTCATGGTTCACTGGCCCCCCTTCTATTAACAAGTGCAATGATCTTCCCATTCAATACAGCGTGCTGAGACTTCGTCTAGGCGGAGGAACTGGCCACGCGGGGAGAGCCCTGATGAACAATCTTCCCAACACCCGGGTCTGCGCGTCAGATGGTCGAGCAATCATCACACCAACATCCAACGCACGTGATGAAATTGCAGCAATTAACGACGCGAATATCGACCATCACGCCACGTGCAACGATCCCTGATGAAGGGGAGGGAGCCGTGAACATTCATAGATATGCGGTGGCATGGCTACTGCATCCTATAAATACTGCAGCCACATGTGCATGAACCACCCTTATCTGCTTATGTCTCTGATGATGGATTCGAGCAGGAATCCGAAACGTCAGGCTAATAAAGCTCTTGTCCCGGCGATCGTGTCTTCTTCTTCAAGACTGCTTCCTGGGACTCGTCTTTTCGCTTCTATAAGATGGTATCGTTCTTAAGGCTGTCACATAGGCCTAGCTTGTAGAAGAGTTCCTTTTTTTGTTTTAAGAATTTTAGATGGAGAGAGGAAATTCTATCCGGTCTTACCATAACAGTATCAAGAGGGCAGAAAATATCAAAGATTTCACTTGAAAGCGTTGAAAGGAGGCTATAACATAATTAAACATTCGATTGTTTAAGGAAGGCGGGGACAGAATAAGATATGCAACTCTGAAGCAGACCACTGTTTTTTGCGGACGTGTTGCGAATCTTAACCTTCCCCTGAGGTTCGGCTAACGGTGCACGTTTAAAGATGGAATAGATTTTTGGAAGACCCACTAACGCAGAGTGACCCGAACCTGACAAGGGAACCCTATTTTCAATACAAAAAAGCTTGATGTTGTTGGTCAAATAGTGATCAATAGGGGCATCAGCGGGAGTGTTGAAGCAGGTAAGATCATCAGAGCCCAAAAGTGTGAGGGGACGCAGGTTCACGCGATTAAAATCAACGCATAAGATAATAAGGTGTCCACAGGACAGTATAGCACCAGTATAGCAGGGTTTTGTGCAATAAAGTCGAAAAACGGGCTAGAGCATCTTCATATTTAGAGGGGAGAATGTAAATACTACCAAATATAATGCCTTTAAAGTATTCAACAAACGGGGCTTGCATACAACATCGACAACGTCTTTCAAGTCATCAGCGAAAGAAAACAAGTACTTACAGTCTCCACACCAATTTTGACCAATAAAAATGACAACGTCTCCACCTCTGCGACAAGATAAAGCTTTTCTATCCTTTCGAATGCAGCAGAAGGGCGAAGGAGTAATTAACTTCTAATCAATGTCATAATTTAGCCATGTCTCTCGAAAACAAATTCCTTCAGTTCAACCATGTTCTTTTTTCAAAAAATGAGTTTTATATCATGAGCTTTGTTGAGAATTGGACGACACTTTTTCGACAAGAAGTCTGTGGTTGATAATTTGTTCTTTGGCTGGCGCTTGAGTGCAAGTTGCCAACCACACCGCTGTTTTTTATGCATACGCTTCTGTTGATGCAAATGTGATAAAGGTAGCACAGAGCAATCACACATACGCTCTATTGGCCGCAAAATGCAACAGTTTGCATCATGGACAGTCGTCAGTGAGAATTTCGATTTAATTTCCCTCGAAAGGATGTTAGCGTACTGTAGAGATGACCTCTTAGTCCAGACAAGCAAGGGATGTAAAAAAAGACCAGTTCTATTAAACGGATGTAGGCAGAGTAGTGCACAGTTTCAAAAATCCGCACGTGAATGGAGAGCAACAAAAAATGGCGGATCAACTTCAAAAGCCCACACAGGTTATGTGACTTTGGCGTTAGAATCAGCAGTCAAAATTTGGCGGCGGGGAACAAAGCTCCGTCAGGCCCTGATGGCCAGAAAAGAGGGCGTTCTACGGACTAAGACTACAGTAGGTGGGCTAACTCATGAAATGTCAACTAAAATTTCGAAATGCGTTCTCGTTTCGAAAAGATTAACTAAGTAGGGTTGTAAAACTAATCATCATAAAGTAAACTTTTATAATAATTCAAATACATCAGGATGCTGGCTTTCGAACGAGTTTCTTTCCGACTGCACATGAAAATCATACTCTGTAGAAAGTGACTACTTAAGTAGCATACATTTTTCTCATTGATTTTCGAGGCCCTTAAAAATTCCATTATATGTCTTGAAAACCAAGCATGAAAATATTCATTATTCTACTCATTCGATAGAAAATTACGTCTTCTTCCAATTTTATACCCAAAGTAAGGGTATAATTCGGCTTTAAAAGGTTTTTAATTATGAGATTTTTTAATACCGTTAAATGGCCGTTCATGAAACGTCATGTATCTGCATTTAGGAGTGTGGCTTGTAAAGTTAACAGTATTGCTCAAATCCACTGCTTAATTTTATGAACCTCATATGG